ACAATAAATTTGAAATTTTTATAACATTTTTAATATTGCTAGCAGCAGAAATACTTAGTAATAGCAGTATTGATGCATGTAATTATTAAAATAAATAAATACTATGTAGTAATAATGGGCAAAAAAATTGGATAATGGTCTGTATTTTGTTCCTATCCTCTCCCAGGCATTGCAAAGTGTGACGTACAATATATTAGGGGCAATATTATTGCTATAATAAATTCTCTTTTTGAGAGTACGTGCAATACCTGGTGTCGAAAGCATATACTATAGATAAAAGTTAATTTTTCAAAAGTCTGCAATTATATAATAACATCGCGTTAATATTTTTTAATTTTGTTCCTTATACAGTAATTTTGTATTATCAAAGCTTTGCATTAAGGTAATTTCTCATGTTTCATTTTTAAAAATTGGCTTTTAAAAAATTTTAATCTTGGCATAGAGTTTTGAAATTAGCTTGACGTTTATTAAATCATAATTATGATAATGCGTCAATTGAATTACATTGTAAATTACGATAATTAATATTGCATTGATAATCACAATGATTAATATTAATTAAAGTTACGAAAGTTGTGTACATAATTATATAATACATGTGCACATTGTAAGAGAGGATTAATAATGCTCAAGTAAGGACTAAATAATTTTTACATAAATAACTAATATTCTGGGTATAAAAACATTATTATGATGTAATAAAAATGCAAATATTAAGTATTAACCTTTGATGAAAAATACTGAATTATTTATTTAAATTCAATATTTCATATGCTAATAATTTAAGAAAATGTATTCATTGCTCCTCTAAAAATTAAATGGACAATACGGTAGTAATCTTAATAGGTACTATAACACCAATCAAGTTTGCAAAAACAATTTCTTAAAAATTAATATCATCAACTTTAGTAAAGTCAGAACACTCATCGTAACATCGCACACTACGCCTACGAAGAAAGGCCTTAGTCAATCACTTTCTTTGTAGCCGTATCGTGTTTAATATAGATATATTATAAATAAACTGTTCACTACGCGTATGGTTCCATCAGTGGCTGACTTTAATAGAATCTCTCATATTTTATTTATAAAAATGTGTTATCACTTCGTGGAGAAGATGTTCAATCTCTTTAAACAACCACCGTGTAAATTGAATTATCTTGATGATCTTGAAAATAAATTTGTAAAATAAGTTCACCTTTGACTACATGTGCACTGTAACATGCAATTCCGTTATACTAATTTATAATATCCTCTAAATATTTTGAAAAGTCGTATAAAACACAATTGGTTCATTTGCTGTAGGTTTTCATTTGATCGTGGGACCAAAATTTCATCGAGACCGCTTGATATTGACACTAGCTATAAATAATTGAATATTTCGAAAATGGTATTTTTTATGATTTTCAACAGGTTTTTTGTGTTTTTCTTTTTATATTTTACAGTTATCGGTCGAAAGACCGATATTGACGAAATTTTCAACTTACGAAACGCATTCTTTAGATTTTCGTTTCAGGTTCAGATAAAACAGTTGAAAATCTTATCTTTCCATTTTTTTTTATCATTTCAACCAATTGCGTTTTGGCATTGTCCAACAAGTCATCGCACTAACATCTCCAAATGTTAACAAGTTTTTCCGGTCTAAAACATGTCCGAATATTTTAGTAAGGTGACTATAATTGTACGATTTCTCCTCCATGTTACTCCCACGAAAAGGAACAGACACGGCAGTGTTTTCCGCAATTTGCACTAAGCAAGAAGCTTATCATCTTTCGGTTGGTAAAATCGCTGACGGTGAAGTCTACTAATCGCTTTAACACGCTCGGCAGATTACGGATTAAAACAATGACAGACTCGATTGAATCATTCGTATGCTGGAACGCGTTAATTCAGAAGGCTGACGATTCAATCCCGTGTATTAAACACTCGCAGCTATGTACGCTAGGGGAGAGAGAGAGAGGCCAGTTTTCTTGGTATTATAAAATTACAGAAACTGCGTCACGATCAAATTTACGTTCTCTTGAAATATTAATTCCATTACCATGGTATACGGTCTGCGGAGAACATTCGAACGAAGGCAAATAGTAGCGGGCGAAGAAAAGTACCGTTAGCGGTTCATTAACGCTGTAGCGAAAGAAACCAGACGGAGATCGAGCTTACTTAACACCGTAGATCAACGTGCAATCATCCTCGAGCTTCGACCGAGTGAAGATAACGAACGGACAAATTACATCCGTAGAAACTTTTTCAATTAAAGGTTATTCCCTCTTTGCCCTGCCTTGCCCGATATAAGGGTTGATGCGAGGGCTAATATATCGACCACCTAGAAAATAATTTGGTACATTCGTAGGTGTGTGATGTTACTTCGAATCATCGTGTAACGGAAATTTATTTGACACCTCGGAGAATTTTCTCCGATCGCCTATATATCAAATATAATATATATCAAATATATATTTATATCAAATATATAAAAGGATATAACGCTGGAAATGATTGCTCTATTTAACCCCTTGCGCTATAGCAACGAATCAAGATTTGGTGATCAAGATTTCATACATACAGTAGAACTCCACTTACGTGAACACGGCGGGAAACAAATACTTCATATAACTGAGTAGGTTTATATGATAGAAGTCCGCTGATTGTGTCCACACTACTTGCAACTTTTCGTTCAACTAGCCGGAATCGAATTCGATGAAATTTTCAGCGTTTCGTATCATAGGCTCAAATAAAGAAATTGAAATACCATCAATGTTTACCTTTTCTATCATGCCAGCAAATTGCAATTTTTGAAAATAATTTTTTAGTCATGGTCTAGTAAACTAATTCCCCTGACATTCCCCCCAAAAAATTTAGACCGCTTAGCTTAATTATAAAAATATGATATATGTCCAATGAAACAAATTTAT